GTCCAGGGATCTCAAATGTTTATAAGGGTTTTTTTGCCCTTTGATCAAATACTTTCATAAGTCTTGGGATTCCTTCCAAATAACTTCAGTAAAGGAGACCAGTTATTTCCCCCACATAGGAATGAAACTAATATTTTCATTTATGAGTGGATCAATTGAAGGTATAATTGAGTTTATTGCACTTACAGAAATGACAGCATCTGCTTGGGTTCTACTAACCTCAAATGACAGAGAATATCTCAGTGTGCCAAGTGACCACAACTCTCATTTGAGAAAATGATGTGTCTCAAACATCTGGAGCAGCACAAAAATAAGAAAAGGACATGGATGGGAACAGTGGGTTGAAGATTTATCTTGGTAGCACTCACTCTCTTTGCCCTATATCAAACAGCAGTGTATGCAGCTGAGATGGGTGTGCTCAATTTGTGATTCACTGAGAATTAACCTAAATTTTAAGGAAATTCCTGCTATTACTAAGAAAAGTAAACTATGTGTTTATGCATTAGTTAACACGGAATAATATCTACCCTCAAATGAAAGTATAAAATACAGACAGGAAGAAATATTATCTTTTAAAATGTTTAACTTTTATGAAAGGTTTTATTCGTCATAAATTTACCTTTAACAGAATATCTAGCCCTTCATATTTAATCAAATTGCTGTAAAAATATCTCATTGTTTTTGACTCTAATAGTAAAGTCTTCTGCATCTCATGGAATTACCAGTGAAATCCTACTCAGGATTTCTTACCATCAATTCCTTTTGTTTTAAATTTAGAAAAGATCAGAAACAACAAAATGAGATAACAATAGTTACCATAACAAGTCAAATTTACCGGATACTAAATTTTTCCACGGAAGGGAAGTGAACAACTAATATAGATGAGCAAAAGTGCTTTAAATAATCTAGATTAACTGAGATAGGCAATTATTTTGTTGGTAGATACAGACATAAAATATTCCAAAGGTGAGCTATCTTTACCTTTGCCTCCAGAGATTTCTAAATCAGAGGAAGGATGTGAGTAAGTGGATGACAGGCAGAGCAGGTGGTGTACCACTGGCACACGTGCATACTTGGCGTTCCCAACTACTATATCAGCTGGCTGATTAATTAGTTGCAGCTCAATGATTTCAGGTGGAATTTACTGCTTGATTCTAGCAAGCATAGTACAGTGCTTCATAGTACAGTGGAGGAAGTAAGAGCTATCAGAAAATATGAAATCTCCCCCAGCCCAAAAGCAAAACCAAGACTTAAAGTTCACATCCATCAAAGCTTCAAATAAATATGCGTTTCAAAAACAACTCCAAACAGAACAGCTCAAAATAAAAACATAATTATAATTACCCAAAAGTGCTTAAAGCACATGTTGGGAGAAAAAAAAAACATAAATATTTAATCAAAAACCAAAAACCTGTTCACACGATAAATTAGGCAACTACTTTTAAAAGATTGTATTACTTCCAAATAGTTTAAACTTGTTCTGTCTTCTGCACATATGTCTCAGCTCTTCCTCTGTTGGAACCAACTCTGTTCATTTTTTTTTCTACTCTTCAGAACATTGCTATTCTAATTCTGAATAAAGTAAAGGCATATGACTGAGCTTGTGAGAAAAACTGCATTCATCTGTTGAGACAGAAATTCCATCTTCTAAATTAATAAATTTCCTTTAACAGATTTCTTGTAATATTTCTTCCTTTCTGGAAGAAATAAATAAAAAGATCTGGCCTGGTTTTGGCTAGGATAGAGTTAATTTTCTTCTTCATAGCTGGTGCAGTGCGGTGTTTTGGATTCAGTGTGAGACTCATGTTGGTAAGACACTGATGGTTTAACTGTTGCTCAGCAGGGCTTACCCTGAGCCAAGGACTTTTCAATTTTCCATGCTCCATCAGTTAGCAGGTGAACAGGAAGCTGGGAGGGAGCATGTCCAGGACAGCTGACCTGCTGGCCAAAGGGATATCCCATACAGTAGAGCATCATGCCCAGTATATAAACTGGGGGGAGTTGGCTGGGAGGGGCTGATCGCTCCTGGGGGAAGGGCTAGGCTTCGGGTGGTGAGCAACAGTACTATGCATCAGTTGTTTCTTTTGGGGTTTATTGCTCTCTGTCTCTTTTTTCCATTGCAGTTGTCATTATCATTAGTTGTAGTAATAGTATATTTTATTTTGATTATTCAACTGTACTTAACACATAAGGCTTACCTATTCTTTCCAATTCTCCTCTCCACTGGGGCAAGGGTAGTGAGGTAGCAGCTGTGCAGTACTTAGTTAGGGCTGCAGTTAAACAACGACAGACATTTTTGGTTCCCAACATAGGGCCCGGAGTATTGAGATAAAAACAGACCTGATCAGAGCATGTTAAAACAAATTAATTATAAGCAACAATTGTATTGGTTTAGTAGTTGCTGGTCACCATGTTATTTCATTTGCATACGTGCTCACAGGCACGTTATATAACACCACTCTCGGTGTATGTGCTCCCTGCGGTAATGTTTATCCTCAGTGGAGTCTGGGCTAAAGTTATAGTTCTGTTGTTCTCTGCAGTAGTGTTTTACGACATGATAGAGTTGCTGGTCATGAACCTTATCCATGCTGGGCACTGCATCACTTCTGTACCTCGGGAGCCATCTCGTGGGAACTATTAACAATCACACCTTTTAACTGCTCCTCGTAGAGCCAAAAGGACCTTAATTTCTTGAACATTTCTTTCATTTGCCTGTTTTGCTGATTATGAGTATGACAGTTTGTGAGATGGGTTCAGGAAGCCTGAGCATGAGATCATTCCTTGGGTGAACACTTCCAAGGGTTTACATAAATCTGTGTTAAGAGGTGGGCACAGATGTTTCCTGCAATAATAATACACAGATTTACTTTTCTCAACTACTTTTTTTTTCTGGAACCTAGAAAATATTAATTAATTGATAGAAGGTCTTCCATTAAAGTAAACTTCAAAAGATGCTAATCTTCCTTAATAAACTATGGAAAAATGTGCTGTTCAAAGAGTAACTGAGAAGACTCAAGCAAAGAAGCATTAATATTATCTCAAGATCATATTAATGAATTTCCTCAATCAAAGAAATCCTTTGAAGGGAATTTTCTTGACCAGATAAGAGAAAGTAATTATCAGCGGGGAAAACTATATGGGTCACAGCAGATAGAATGCCAGACTCTACCAAGGAGAGACACCCTGTGGTAACAGCCTAAACTGTCATTCCTGCAGTCACCTGCAAAGAAACAGCAGAGTAAATGATATATTGTGATTAAATAATTGCTTATAAAGCCATCTCTTTGAATCATACAGGTAACAACAGCACAGATCTGATATAAAAGTGCCATATTCTGTTTCCAAAGTGCCACTTACTAATTTAAGCTCATCTTTAAGCTCACAAATCAAAGTGTTGATCTTTTCTGTGCCTTTCTCTCCCCTTGCCTGAGATGTGATTGTCCATGTGGCTAGAGCTCTCATTCTGTCACATTCTGTATTAACTCAATTCACAATAAACACTTTTGCCATCAGTGTCAGGCACTCCCACCAGCTCACCACAATAAGGAAGTTCTACTGCTTTAAATTTGTTTTTTCAAATTTCCTGTCTTCACTTAAAAGATCCTTCAAAGCTGTTCCTCATCTGCCTTTTGTACACTTACATTACCACTAGATCTCTCTAATTCCCAAACAAGGGATATGAAGGAAAAGTTACTCTCCCCCAACAGTAAGAGCCACAAGAACTCACACCCCCAGATGTCATTGCAGCTTTGATCAGATGTGGTATAATGATGTGCCCAAGCTGTGTGTTGAGGTCTCCTCACCTCCTCTGCTATACTCTGCTGCTCCCATGCAGAGGCCATGCTGCAGCAGAGGCCATGCAGCAGATGTGCCCCAAATGGCACCAAGTTAAGCTGGACCCTCTCTGCAGTTAAGAAAGCAGCTGAGCCCCAGGTGAATTGCTTAAAAGAAGTTCTACCCTCACCAGAGTAGAGGTGCTGCTCTATATTTCTCTGCATGTGGTCAGAGATGCCTCTAAAATGGCAGGATCAGGTAGAGTTGCTGCCAGGTAGGTAATTTTTCTAACGCAGTCAAAGGACAGTGAGGAAAACAGGGCTTTTTTTCAGAGGGTTTCTTGATGATTCTCATGTGCGTTGGAAATAAACTGACTGAGGGACTTTTCATTAGGATGTGCATGGTGCCTGGAGCTCTGGGACAGCAAGAGATAACTCTTTCAACTCTAACAGACCAGCTAAACATGCACCCTCTCCCTTGCCTGGTTTTATCAAAATGGGTTTTCCGTAAATAGTTTAGTCTAATGGAGATGGGAGAAGATTGTGTTCATAGAAATAGGCTCAAGGGCAAGTACATGTGCCTTTATACTGGCAGCTCCAATGGACCGAATCTCAGGCTCAACTGAAATGAGTTTGACAGCAACTAAAATACAAAGATGGAGAAAAAAAACTCAACACTTACAGAATCTGGAAAGATTATTTAGTTAAAAGGTAACCGAAATATATATATTTAAATTTTTCCATTAAATGAGTATTTCTGAACACAAACAACATCAAGGAGCCAATGCCAGCTGTAGTTTAATAAAATCAGCTGCAAAGCATATGGCTGAGCAGCCTCTGCTGTCTCAGGATAGTGCTCCCAGGTAAGACCATTAACACCACTGACTTAAAATCCTCTGACTCATTTAACTTAATGGCTTGGAATAAATGTCCATCATCTTCCTGCAATGCTAAAACCTCATTTGTTATTCCACTGACATTTCTCATCTTTACAGGCAAGTTACACACTGAATACATATTTTAAACTTCCAGCTCCCTCTACTGTGCAAACGTTAAAAAAAAATTAGTGTTTTGATAATTAAAACAAAGTAGGAGTAAATAGATTTAGCACAAAAATAATGTAAGGAAATACTTAAAAGTTAATTTCTTATTTCCCTTTGTGTTTAGCAGCTAGGTTTTGAGCTTGTTCTGTACTGATATCCAGGAATCAGGCCTTGTGAACATGATCTTGAATGACCCTAGAGAACAACATTACAGTAGAGGAAGTAGCCATGCCTCACTGCATATTGCTTTTAAAACTCAGTCAGACGCACTGGACTTAAATACTGAAAGAACTTCATGCAGCATTCCCACTGTGTTGGGGCCACATCAATGTGCTTCAATATACATGTTGCACTGGTGAATAGCTGCCTTTATTTACATCACACCAAAATATCAAACCATTGCAGAAAACAGCTCTAAAAACACTTTCAAAGACACAAAATGTTCCAAGTGGAAACAATACTTTACATTGGTTGATGAATGAAAGTGAGAACTTTAAGAATGAGGATCGGTAGTGACCACATACAAAAGAAGAATGAGGTGTGTGATATCACGGGATGTTTTCCAAAGCAGGACACATATTGACAATGAGCACACCTTTTTCCTTCCAAAACATACTCTGCCACTGTGTATGTGGGCCAAGGAGGCATCAAAAGTGCTCTAGTGCCTGCCCAGAGCTTGCGTCGCCTTAAGGGAGAGCCGGGAAGCAGAAGCTCTGAATGGTGCAGCAAGTCTGGAGCCCTTCCAAGCACAGGCTCTTTTGCACAAGCAAGACTCCCTGGGGAAATGGAGCCAAGGGAAAAGCAGAGTTCACTCCCATTCCAAGCTTGCAGTGGGCAAGACAGACAAAGAGAGAGCTACAAAATATCAAACCACTCCAGAAAACAAAAAGAAACAAACAAACAAACAAATAAAACTTTTATTAAGCATCAATGAAGCTTATAGTTCTGCTTCATTAGGAGCAGGTTAGCTAGTACTCAAAATAAAAATGAAAATAATGAGAAGCATAACCAAGGTTGTCTTTCAGTCTGTAAAAACTCTTACAATGAAAGCTATAAGAATTAAAACCAATGCTGTACGGTGGATATCAGGCTCAAGAGAAACCTTTAGCCCAGTGAAGAAGGAGGTGGAAACAGAAAAGACAGAGGCATAGTGCATGATTTTCCACAGTTCACAGCAGAAGTATTAGGAGAAAAAAAAACCTACTTCCGACTGGAAGATTGAAAAGGAAGAAAAAAAGAAAACTACCATCTTCTTTCATTATTAATTCCAAGAGCTGACATATGTTTTTAGATGTGCGAAAAAATATTCTCAGTTCTGGAAATTAAAATACTTTCAAGTTGGGAAAAAGGTGCAGATTTACTTATCTTTCACAGAGAGAAAAATAATCCACCTTTGCTCTGGACAGACAGTTGTAGCATGGAGTCTTTATATAATAAATAAATGGACTCAGCTCCTTAATGAGATGGCAATCAAAGAGGTTTATTCAAACTCGGCGCTCCTTCTTATCCCTTAAAACCATGTGACCTTGTGACCAGTGGGGTTATCTATTTCAGCGCATGTCCCTTGGGCTTCCCCGCCCTCGGTGCATCCTCTGCACCCTGGACACACCTCCTACAGACAGTGGTGCTCCACTTACAATCTTGTGATGTTCCATAAAGTTTCCACATTCTACCTCGAGATTAAAATTATGTTTAGGATTTCTTTGTAAAAATTTCTTGGGTAAAATTGATCAATATCAGCACAGTGAACTATCTTTAACCTCAGAACCTGGAAGAATGACAGAGAAGGTCATGCTGGCTAAGGAAAAACAACGGAAGGAATCTTCACAAGGGAAGGAGCCTTCACTGGACAAGCAGGCTTCAATAAGTGACTCTGGCATCAGAGGGTAACAAGGTTCTACAGGAGAGGAGGCTCATCGCAGGAGGGAGGCTTCACAGATACTCACCCAAAACATGGGAAGGAGGCTTCACAGGTGCACTCTGCCAACACAGAGGGACTCCGGCATCACAGACAATAGATTCTTCAAACAGGGACTCAGGCACCACAGCACAAGGAGGCTTGCAAGGGGAAGGAGGCTCCCATAGGGAATGGAGGCTGCTTACAGGAAGGAACCTCCAAAGGTGGACAAAGGCTTTTCCCCAGAAGGAGGCTTCAGAGATGGACTCTAGCATCACAAAGAGACTCTGAATCACAGTCTTTTCAGGGGGACTCTGGGATGACTGTGGAATAAGGCTTCACATGTGGAGGAAGACACTCAAGAGGGTAAGTAGGCTCCACAGATGTAGTGGGTTTCTGTGCTAGGTTTTAGTAGTGGGGGGGGCTTCTGTTAGAAGCTGTTAGAAGCTTCCCCTGTCTGGTAGAGCCAATGCCAGCTGGCTCCAGGACGGGCTTCCTGCCTCTGGCCAAGGACAAGCCAATCAAGAGTGATAATAATGCCTCTGGGATAACATATTTAAGAACAGAAAGCTACTGTGCAGTGAAAATTCTAGCCAGGGAAGAGCGAAGTGAGAACATAAGATCAGCAAGGCAGACACCAAGGTCAGTGCAGAAGGAAGGGGAGGAGGTGCTCCAGGCATCATAGCTGTGGCCCCTGCAGCCCTTGGTGCAGACCATGGTGGAGCAGCTGTGCCCCTGCAGCCCACGGGGGACCATCAGGGTGCAGAGACCCACCTGCAGCCCATGGAGAAGCCCATGCTGGAGCAGGTGGATATCCAAAGGAGGCTGTGACCCTGTGGGAGGCCCAGCATGGAGCAGGGTCCTGCCAAGGACCTGAAGCCTGTGGAGAGAGGAGCCCACAGTGGAGCAGATTTTTCCCAGGCAGGACTTCTGGCCCCTGTGGGGGACCTATGGTGAAGCAGCTCATTTGTGAAGAACTGTATCCCATGGAGAAGTGACCCACGGGACAGCAGTTTAGGAAGAACTGTTGTTGGGGTGGTGTCATAGGTTTACTTGTTCTAAAAAACCAAGCAAGAATTTTTCTTTCCCCTGCCCCACTGTAAAAGAAAGATGTTGAATGGGGGAGGATGGTTTGCCTAGGGTGATTCAAAAGAACTGGCTGACAGCCCACATTCCAGGTTGATAGCCCTCAGAAGATGGGGGTGGGGGTGGGGGTGGGAATGGACGAGGGACCTGTGGAGTTTTTTTCTTTCTCCTCGGGAAAACGGCAAGGCACTCCACTTTTGCCTTAACTCAGGCAAGGTGTGTGTTGGAAGGCTCTGAGGTCGTTTTGTTTTCAGCCTGGTCATCTGACTGTTTTCTGGCCCTGGCTTGTCTGCGCCCTGTTCTGCCCCCAGCCCAGATCTACTCAGACTTCATTGGAGAGGTTTGACCCATCTGCAGAGGAACTTTTTGGGGAGGAGGTCAGCCTTTTCCCTCCCACACTCCCGTGTTTGGCAACGGTTTGTGCTCATTGACAAACGGGGGGAAATCCCAGCCACAGCCAGCGTGAGTTTTGTAGGAAGAACCCACCTTCTTTCCCCTTTTCCCCTTCCCCTTCTCGGTGGGGGGGAAGATCTCCATTTCGGCTTCTCCCTCACACCAGGGCCCCACATGGCAACTGCCAGAGCCCAACAGCGCCCCCTGCCGACCAACACTGAGCACTGCAGGCTCTGCTCCTCCAGCGATCCAACAGCGCCCCCTGCTGGCCGTGGTTGGAATTGCACCAAAAAAAACCCAGAAAGTACTGAACTGTTTCCCTTTCTGAGGGGGACTTTTTTGGGTACAGGATTATTGTTTAGTTGTTTTTGTGTTCTTTTGTTGTTCAGCCAATACACATATATCCTTTAATAAAGGGCTGTAATTTTTTTCCTTTTTTCCATACTTCCTCAGTTGGAGCCTCTTAATTTCTGATTTACAATTGCTTAGCGGGAGGAATTTGGTCTTCCTCATAACTCATCTTCCTTAGCAAAACACTTCAGTCTCATTAAACTGAGACAGGTGGACTCATGCCGGACAGGTGCATCAAGGACTGTCTCCTGTGGGAGGGACTCCACAGGAGCAGGGAAGGACTCCTCTCCCTGAGCAGCGTCAGAAAGAACAACTGACCATAACCTCCATTCCCCATCACCCTGCAATGCTGGGTGGGAGCAGGGAGAAAGTGGAAGGAAAGAGAGGTTGGAGGAAGGAGTTTTTCAGATTATTTACTTCTCACTCCTTAGTCCTACCCCTGTTGGTAATAAATTCAATTAATATCCCCACTTTTAATTTCTTTTACCCGTGATGGTGATCATTAAGTGATCTCTCCCAGCTCTTATCTCAACTCATGCATCCTGCATTGTTTTTTATTTCTTTCCTCTGTCCAGTTGCAGAGGGTAGTGAGAGATTGTCTGTTGTGAGTCCCTGGTGTCAACCAAGGGTAAACAAACAACTAAAGAGTAATTATAATTTCAGAAGGGAAGGAGGCCTCACAGAGGGACTCTGCAACTAAGAGAACTCAAGTATCACTGAGGAAAGAGGCTTCAAAAGGGAATGAATTTTCACAAGGGAAGAATGCTTCACTAGACAAGCAGGCTTCACAGGAAGAGTGAACCTCTGCCAGAAAATCACTGCCAAGTGATTCCGGTATCACAGGAGAAATAGGTTCTGTAGGAAAAGAGGCTCATCACTGCAGAGAGGCTTCAGACTTACCCAAAACACATGAAGAAACCTTCACAGATGGACTCGCACGTCACAGACGAAGGATTCTCCACACAGCGACCCTGCCAACACTGAGGGACTTTGGCACCACAGATGACGGACGTTTCACATAGGCATGGAAGCACCACAGGGATAAAAGCCTTTCAAGAGCTACGAGGCTCCCACAAACATTGGAGGCCTCTTACAGGAAGGAACCTCCACAGATAGACAAAGGCTTCGCCCTACAAGGAAGTGTCACAGACGGACTCCTGCATAACAAACACACCGGAGAACAGAGGAAGGGGGCTTTTCATGGAGACTCTGTGCAGGAGGCTTCACTAGAAAAGGCCACTCTCACAAGCACTCTGGGATGACTGAGGAATGAGACTTCACAGAGGGACAAAGATGCTCGAGACGGGATGTAGGCTCCACAGATCGATTCTGCTTTCAGGAGGGAACGAGGTTTCACAAAGGGACTCCGGCAAATAAGAGGACTCTGACATTCCGGAGGAAAAAGGCTTGCGAAGAGAAGCAATCTTTACAAGGGAAGGAGACTTCACTGGACAAGCAGGCATCACTAACTCAGTGCCAAATGATTCTGTCATCACAGAAGAAGCTTCTATAGGAAAGGAGGCTTGTTACTGGAAGGAGGATTCATGGGCACTCATCCAAAACACATCAAGGAGGCTTCAGTGGAGAAGGAGGTTCACAGATGGACTCTGACACCACAGAGGAAGGGTACTCCACACAGGGACCCTGCCAACACTGAGGGACACTGGCATCACAGATGACGGACGCTTCACACAGGGACTCACAGGCACCACAGCACAAGGAGCCTTGCAAGGGGAAGAAGGCTCCCACAGGGAATGGTGGCCGCTTACAGGAAGGAACCTCCAAAGATGGACAAAGGCTTCTCCCCAGAAGGAAGCTTCAGAGATGGATATGACTGAGGCAGCACAGGGGAACGAGGCTTTCTTGAGGAAGTAGGCTGCACGTGGAATGGAGACTTGTTGTTGGGCAAAAGAATCAAGCTAAGAAACAGGGTTGAAGTGTTTTCGCCCACCCTGTAATATTCTGAGGGTTGCCCCAGGGCTGAGTTGGGAGATGTGGGAAATTTTGGAGGTGGAAATTGCTGCCTGGGGCTTTTTTGTAATGTGGCTCTGTTTCAGGGAAACAGTGCTCACAGCATTGCAGAAGACTGCTGAGGATCAGAGCTCATCGCTCAGCACATGGATTAGGGGTTTCATACAGCCTGGTCCTTCCTGTCCACCAGAAGGCACTGAGAGTTCTTATTTAAAAGCCTGTTTTTAAAATCACTCTTAAAAAGTGGAAATTGGGATTTCTGTAGCCTTGATCATGATGTTCCACATAAAATCACTGAAAATTGCATTTGAGAGGAGGTGTGTAAATGAGGTGCGGGGGCTTTGTAAACGAGCGGGCCGGCCCCAGTGCGGGGGCACTGAGGGGCCGTAGTGTCTGTAAAGAAGTGGGGCGGGGTTGTGGCATTCCGTGAGGGCCGTCCCGGTGCCACCCCCGGGCAGCATCCCGGCCGCCCTTGCTGCCTGGCTGCGAGCCATCCCGCAGCCCGACCATTCAGGCAGCACCTTATCCTCCCCGGCTCGCATTTCTGTGAAACCACAAACGTGCGGTCCGGCCTGTTACAGCGAGTTCACCCCATCAGCACCCATTTGTCGAGGGGTGAGAACCTTGGGGGTGGGGGGATCGGCTGCTGGTAAAATTAATTGAGGTGGGTTTTGGTACCAAATGGCCACTGTTTGATGTGTGACGGCACCGAGTGCTTCCTCGGTCCATTAAAAATACATCAGGTGAATAAACCACAGCTTGTTGCTCTTCCAGTTCTTTTCTAGTTTTCATTTGCCACTCACAGCTCAATTTCACATGTGTTTAGTAATTACATCGTGTTTTGGCTTTGCCTTTTTGCACTGATGACTTAGGGCATTGGATTTGGTTTCTGTGGATTTGGTATTTGTGGACTCTGGAGTTATTTCGTAATTCAAACCCAGGGAACAAGCTCTCCTTTTGACGTGGTTTTCCCTCCATTGGCTGTGGTAATCCTATTTATCCCATCTGCCTTGGTGTCATTTCAGTATCTAAATGTCTGAATGTGCATTTTGTCGCCATAAACTTTATTTTGTTGAAGAGCAGTAGTTGAACTGGTTAAAGGTTAATTTGACCCAAAGGGAAACTAGGGTGCAGGAGCCTCTGGAGTTTGATTCCCTCCCCCCCGCCCAGGTGCAGTGCAACAGGACTCAATATCGATGTGGACTAATCCTGTGTGACAGAAGTCATGCTCTTAAACAGGGTTGCTGTGGCACACATGGGAGCTGCCTGTGCCATGCTCAGGTGCCGTGCTGAGGAGCACCCCACTAGTTCTGTTGTGCTCAGGGTGACTGCTGTAATCGTGGCATTTTGGGGCTGTTTCCTCATCCCCTGACATCTGTGGTGACTCTTTGTTTACATCTATTTCGCTTTTTAGCTGTGAATTCTTTGCATTTAAACTAATAGTGCTGATTTTTTGATCTATTATTGCTACTATTGTTTATTATTCGACCTTCTATTCTGCTCATTAATCCTAGAGTGAGAGATAAGGTGACAGGATACTTCTACCCTGATGGTTATCCAACACCATTTGCTGCTTAACTTCAGAATAACAAGTGAATGATGCTTCTATATACCCAGGCAGATAGTATTTCACAGTAATCAACTTTTAAGTAATTTTTAAGACATTAAGTAAATAATCAGTTGATTTTTAGTTTACTGTCATCCAAATCCCAGCATCCACCACAATCCATCTCTGAGCTCCTGCAGTCTTCTGATTAGAACACAGACCGACATTGCTACTGGAACAGCACTGAATTGGTGTCTCTAAGTCATTGCTTTTTTTCCCTTTTTTATAAAAGCATTAGAAGGAAGTGAGAAGAAAGAGCAGTGAATTGGTGTTAACACACAGCAGCCTCCTGATTTTATTTGGATACAAATTCTTATCCCATCCCATCTCAAAGTCAAGTGTTCCTTATTTCAGAGCCTTAATATGTGACATTTTAAGCAATGTGCTTGTCTGATCTCTTCCTGTCTGTGCACAAGTGCACAGACTGTGTGGTATGTCCTAACAGCATGGAAGCTAGAACTTACACTTGTGTATCTCTTGAGTAATAGTCTGAAGGCTAGAAATCAAGTCCAGTGTAGGAACTGGAGAGAGCCTGGAGGAAACAGTTTGTGACTCAGCATTTCTTTATGCTTGGTTTTTCACAATGTGAGAGGCTTAAAGCTAAATTAATTCTCCTTAAGGAGAAATACTCAAAATACATCCTCCGGATGAGGATTTTTTTCCCAGAAGTAGCTAAATTTCATCTAGTAGTACAGTAGAATGTTTTACTTCAAAACTGGGCAGATAGGCAGCACAAGCAAGAGTGTTACCACACCCTTCACTTTTTATAGCTACCTTGGTATGGAGCTCCATATTTCCCAACAAACCACTTAACTTTGAGCATCAGCTTTTTATTTTTTTACCTTTTAACCTCCTTTTCCGACTCTCCCATCAGAAATTGATATATTAATATCAAAACACAGAGCTTTAAATATTGTGAGTGGCTTAGTGTTTAACCTCAGTCCCATTTCACTTGCATTTTCCATCATGGAGGTACTAAAACTTGTCTCTGAATTCCCTGGGACCTGCAGAAGGTGAATTAGGAACTTCAGGGAAATGAGCTGCCAGACTATGGCTAGCTAATTATGTTGCCTTCACTGAGTTTATTATGACTTGTTGATTAATTAAAAGCTAAAGTTAGCATAGGTGAAGAGGAAACACCATGTTGATCCTCAGCAGGATTAGAAATGGGTTTGGATTTTGAGGAGAGGGAGGTTTTTGACATTTTCTGCCAAAATTCATGAGCAAAATAATGTCACATGCCCAAC